TGGGGGGGGTGTGGGGGGGGTGCGGTCACCTGGTGCCCCGCAGTCACAGCACACGTCATTGCCCGTCATCCTCTGCACCTCCGCGATGATCTCCTTGGTCAGCTCCTGCACGATGTTGTTCTCCCCGGGGGGGTCGTCGCCCTTGAACGCGTTGTTCAGGGCTTCCTCCTTGCTGTTCTGCAGCACAGACATCCATCTGGGGGAGGAGAGGGCGCTGGTACAGGCCCAGGCCCCGCCGGCCCCGCCCGCTCTGTCCATCACCCTGGCACTCACATCTGGCACTCCTGCTCGTCCTCGGCCTGGAAGTGGTACGTGCGGTCATCTGCGGGCGAGAGGGGCCCCGTCAGTGTGAGCGGGCGGCAGCGGGCACGATGCCCACAGGAAGCAGCTCACTGCCGACCTTCGGGGTCCCCTGGGCGCTGCGCTAGGGCGTGAACGGCTCCTACAAAGGCAGGCACCCCCTCGCGTCCCTCGCACGCCTGCCTTGCCTGGCAGCTGTGGCTTTGAAAGCCAAAGGAACGGACCTGCCTGTCCCTCCATTCGAGGCTAACGCGATGCCGCTGCCAATGAGGCTTCCAGTGGTCGGCAAACTCATCAGTCAACAGAGCCAAATATCAACAGCACAACAACTGAGATTTCTTTTGAGAGCCAAGTTTTTTAAACCTAAACTATATAGGTAGGTACATTGTTATTAACTTAATTAGGGTTTTTTCCTGAGGCTTAGGAAGAGCCACACTCAAGGGGCCAAAGAGCCACATGTGGCTTGAGAGCCGCAGTCTGCCAACCATGGGATTCCATTGAAGCCATCAACAGTCTTAAAAGCTTTAGTGTTACTGTTCTCAATATATTTTTATAAAGGGAGGGAGAGAGAGAGAAACACCGATGAGAGAGAATCATGGGTCGGCTGCCTCCTGCATGCCCCACGCTGGGGATGGAGCCCGCAGCCTGGGCCTGGGCCCTGACCAGGAATTGAACCGTGACCCCTGCTTCATAGCTCCATGCTCAACCCGAGCCACGCTGGCCGGGCTGGCCGTGAACTTTAATGTGGAAAGCAAGACGTGGCAGAGAACACGCTGGGGGCATCCTGGCAGAGGGGATGCACAGAGGCAGGGGGGGACAGCGGTGGCCACCCCTGGGGGAAGGGGGACAAATACTGCGGCTGAGAGCGCGGCCACCGGCAGAAGCGACGGGCAGGCCTGGGTCAGAGTCGTGGCGCTTCTCCTGCGCGCCCCCGGAGGGAAGGCTCATGAAGCAGGGAGACTGGTCCTGCGGTCGGAACACGAACCCGTTTCAAGAACGAGAGCTCGCAAGGCCTGATCCCGTTGTGTGCAGCACTTTTTTTTTCTTTTCTTTTCTTTTTACAATAGTGCTTCTTAAGTTTTATATATATTTATTTATTTACTTTTACTGATTTTAGAGAGGAGAGGGCAAGACAGAAATATCAATGAGGTTCATTGATCGGCTGCCCCCTGCACGCCCCACACTGGGGACGGAGCCCGAAGCCCAAGCATGTGCCCTGACCAGGAATCGAACCTGGGACCCTTCAGCCCAGAGGTGGAAGCTCTATCCACTGAGCCACAGCAGCTAGGGCTGCAGCATCTGTAACATCACAGATGCTTCCTTTTTTATAAGGAAAGGAGGGGCTTCAGGCTATGGGCTGACCTAGGATAATCTCCTCATCTGCAAACAGGAAGAGGAGGCTGGGAGCTGGAACGAGGCATCGAGGCGTGTAGAGCCTCAAGGCACTGGGGGACGGGGAGGGGGGAGCGGGGGGGGGCTTCCTCCATGGCAGGTCGGGCATTCCCAGGGAACAGTACGCCCAGCACCCGAAATGCAGGCCTCTCTCTTCCAAACCAGCTCTCCCACGGGCACAGGGAAAGGGGCCGAGGCCCTGGAAGACGGCTCGAAGGGCTGCTCTGGGGCGCGGCGTCTGAGAAACAAACTTACGCGAAATGAGGTCGAAGCACTTCTTCTCCTCGGGGTTGGTCTTCACTTGGCAGGTGAGGAGGTTGAGCTTGGCGGGGGGCCGGTTCGCCTGTCGGAAAAGTACAATTAAAGTAAAGCAAACCCGGAGCTGGAGGGAGACGGAAACCCGCACGGCGTCATCCCTCATGAGCGCAGCGTGAGGGCAGGGCTCTCCCTCGCTCTCAGAAATATATATATATTTGCAGTTTTATGTCATTTACTTACTTTTATTAAACATTGTGTCTAGCAACAGGCTCACGAGCCGGCGATGCTGGCGTCGTGGTCCATGGCCGTGGACTTCCCGAGACCAAGATGGTCCACGGCGAGAGCCCGAGACGTCCTGCCCTGATTCCTCCTGCGCACGGACACGGGCGGCTGCCGGGTTGCCCAGGTCAACGCCTGGTCTCCCACTGGGGTTCTTCTGAGGGTAAACACTCGCTTCCAGGAACAGCAACCTCACAGACATGACGGGGAAGTAATTTCCCTGCTTCCTGAAGTGACGACAGACGACAGATGCCCAACCCGCGATGCCAGCCATCTGTCACTGAAGCCTCAACAAGACCAACCTCGTTCACATACGGTGTCAACTCCCCCGACAGACACGCACGGCCAACGAGCGATCACAGAAACGGTATTTTTGTCAGGTGTGTGTCAGAATGACTATTACAATGTCGGAAAACAGCCTATTTCACCCAAACAAGCAAACGGCGGAGGGTGAGACAGTAATTTCAGAAACGCACTCTGCATGGCCAGACGCCACGCAGAAACCGTGGAGAAATCTCCCAGCGCGAATGGGCTTCTCTCCCCACCTACCACGCTGCTCACAGAGGGTCCCAAGAAAACGTCTTGGGCCCTTACCGGTGTGGCTCAGTGGATAGAGCGTCGGCCTGTGGACTGAAGGGTCCCAGGTTCGATTCCGGTCAAGGGCACGCACCTTGGTTGCGGGCACATCCCCAGTGGGGGGTGTGCAGGAGGCAGCTGATCGATGTTTCTCTCTCATCGATGTTTCTCTCTCATCGATGTTTCTAACTTTATCCCTCTCCCTTCCTCTCTGTAAAAAATCAGTAAAATATATTTTTTAAAAAACACACAAAAAAACCATCTTGGGCTTTTAATCACTCGCCATCCCTCCCCGTGGCCACCCGTCACGTCAAGACCTGGGAAAGCTTGGGTTTGGGATGCATGGACACGTGTGTCTACACGGGGGCCGACCCTGAGGTCCTCAGGCACTGGCAGACCCCTCTCCTCTGACGCAGGACGGAGCCGGTGCTGTGAACAATGTGGTTCCCTAAAGGGTGTCTGGGGAAGCGGAAGGATCCGCTGGGCTGCACCATCGCTCCCGGCTGGCGGCCCTGCTGACCGCACCCCGTGGAGGGAGCCCCCGGCTACTCTGTTGTCTGGAGGTGCCTCTGAGTCCCTGGGTCCCAGGCACCAGCGGACGAAGACCCCAAGCTCTGCCTGGTCGTGCCAACCTCAGTGCCAAGGAAGAGCACCCCATCCAGTCGGACCCTCACCGGGAGAACTGCCTGGCTCGTCAGGAACCAATACACACGTGGCACACGGGGCGGGCCACGCGGCCGACACTGGTGAGTACACAGCACGGTTCATTCCCATGTTCTCACTGACGGTGTCATTTTCCACACCAACAGCGGCTCGCCCGCCCCGTTCTCCTGCAGCCCCAGCAGGAGCCCACCCCCGGGTGGGAGGCTGTGTGTGCCCGTGGCCGCCAGCCCGTCTCCGTGAGCCTCGTTATCACTGTACCCCCCGACCCCCGGGGTGTGTGACCAGCTGACACGCAGGGCTCAGCCCCGCTTGGCGACTGCGCACAGGACCGAGGCCTTAGGCCGGGCGCGGAGTCTCAGGTTTCTAGAATAAAGTGACCGCGTCACTCGCCTCTGGAATCAGATTCCCAGAGTCCTGGGCGACGCTCCCTCCCTCCCCAGAGGCAGGCGGCGGGCGGGGTGGGGCGGGTTTGCGTGTTTCTGGGTCTCAGCTGGGAGTGAGTGCACCTGCCACCCTCCTCCTGGCTGTGGGTTCGAGGCTTTCCCTGCCCCGCTGCCAAAGCATAAATGGGTGCAGGTGCACCACCCGGGCGGGAACCCAACACGCTTCTCTGCAGACAGGCTCCCGGCATGGAGACACCGCGGTCGCATGCAGCCGCCCGCGCTCACGG